GGTCCCAACTGACACGCTGTAGGGTCTGGCCCGCTCGGCGAGCTGCTCGGCGGCTCTGGACTGCGTGTATCGCCTCAAGGGCCGCAGCGAGGCCAAGTCGCTGGCCGTGTGCCTGGGCCGCGTGGCCGACGTCTACAGGTGAGGCCGCCCCGACCCGGCCCCGCTGGGGGCGGCACCGCGGGAGGGGTTTCCGGTGACAGGCTTGGGAGACTGAGGCGCCGAGTGCGGGAGGGGCTTGTCCTGGCTCACCCAGGAATCCAGCACTGGAAGCGTGTTGGGAGCGCTTAACGCGTGCCAGGCTCCGCATCAGACAGCGCACCGGTGGGAAGGCTGAATTAGGCGAGCATGGCACACTGTTCTCTTGGGGCCCTTGTGATGGACGGAGGGGAGGCCCGCGGGAAGAGGGAATCGCCGGTAACAATTTAGAAGGAGTGGCTCCCGGGTGATAAAATAGTTGCAAGTTGTATTCACGGTGCCGCGGCGCTATGGTGATTGTCTTCCAGACAGGTGTGTGTGTGTGTGGACTTGTAAGTCCGGGGTACTTCTCTGGAGTTCTGCCTTGTGCCAAAGCTCCGGGGAAGAGGGAGAAGGGAGGCAGGCAGCTCTCGTTGTACACCCAAAGGACGCCTTTCCTACGTCTGCCTTCGGTTCAGGAAAGGTCCACCAGGGTGGTTTGGAGTGGATTTGTGTTCTTTTGCCACCAGGTACTGTGAGGTGAGAGTACCCAAGGAGCTCCTGGAGGACCTGTTGCCAGGACCAGTGACCCTGGTGATGCAGCGCTCCGAGGAGCTCAACAAAGACCTGAACCCCTTTACGCCTGTGAGTCGCATTCGGTTTTCCCTGTGATCTGAATCGGACTCCTTCAAGCCCTTGAAACCTTCCTCACACTTCCTTTTCCTCTTGCTTCACAGCTTGTTGGCATCCGGATTCCTAACCACGCCTTCATGCAGGACTTGGCCCAAATGTTTGGGGGACCACTTGCACTGACCAGTGCCAACCTCAGCTCCCAGACCAGTTCTTTGAGTGTTGAGGTGAGAATTGGCCCCGGCAGGCTAAACTGCTGTCTTCCCCAGAACCAGTAATGCTGACCCTGCCCTGGGATTACCTGGCAGAAATTTGGGCCTCTGGTGCAACAATGAGAAGGATACCCATTTGGTATGGTTTAGAGGAGGGCATCCAAATAAAAGAATCTTGGAAAGGAGCCGGTAGTACATACTTGTAAGGCCAAGGCAAGAAAATCTGCCCCCTCCCCCTATAGGGTTTTTCTTTGTAGTTTTGGGTGTCTGGAACTCACTCTGTAGACCAGGCTGATTTTGAACTCATAGAGATCTACCTGCCGCTGCTGGAATTAAAGGCATGCTCCACTGCCACCTGGCTTTTAAAGTTGCTTTTTGTTTGTTTGTTAATGATTTTTTTTTTTATGTGCTTTGGTGTTTTACGTGTATGTGTGAGAGTCTCAGATTGGAACTGCAAGTTAAAGACAGTTGTGAGCTGCCTTGTGGGTGCTGGGAATTGGACCGTGGTCCTCTGGTAGAGCAGCCAGTGCTCTTAACTGCTAAGCCATTTCTCCAGCCCCCAGAAACTTTTTTTTTTTTTTTAAAGAGTTGGAAAGTTTTATCTTGAGAGGCCAGGGAAGAACAGGTGTGTTCTTTGTATCTGTAATAATAGATTTAAAAAAAGATGCTGGGATAGTGGCTCACACCTTTAATCTCAGCATTTGGGATGCAGAGGCAGCCCAGTCTCTTGAGTTCAAGGCAAGCCTGGTCTACAGAGCAAGTTATAGAACTTCTTAGAGAGACCCTGCCTCAAAACAAAACAAAAATAGAAAAGATTACCAGAAGTAAAGACAGCCTTGTGAGAGGAGCAATTGTCAGACTTGACAGCAGTGCTGAGAACTTGGGGCTCTGAAACATTAGTTCACTTCTCTGTCATATACCATTAAATGAGTCCCAACTTTTTGCCAGCTTGCGCTCACTCTCTCTCTCTCTCTCTCTCTCTCTCTCTCTCTCTCTCTCTGTGTGTGTGTGTGTGTGTGTGTGTGTGTGTGTGTGTGTGTGTGTGTGTGTACGTGCATGTTTGAGATAGGATCTTTTATGTAGCCCTGAATTTCTTATATAAAGCAGGCTGGTTTTGAACTGACTCTGCTTCCTGAGTGCTGGAATTAAAGGCTTAGGGCAGGGTCTTAACAGCTATAGCTCAAGCTGCCCTTGAACTTGGGATCCTCAGGCCTCTCCATTTTTGGATCTATACCACTGCACCTGGCCTCACCTAGTTTTTGACTCCTAACCATATTGTCTTATCTCTGCCTGCCAGATAGGCCTGAGACAAGATCATCCTGTCTTGGCTATATGGTTTAGAACAAATGAGCATAAAGAAACTTTGCTCTCTGTTCCTACAACATTTCAGTTAGGTGCAGTTAAGTGATGGGGGCCTTGGAAATCCAGTATCAGCTTTATTTGTTCTTGGTAGCCGTATAGGTATGGAGCCGGGTGGGGGAGTTACCGGAGGAGGGGTAAGTTCTTACCTTGTCAACAACCCTGGGCCAGCACAGTCATTGGCATTTATGATTTTCTTATCTCCAAGACCCTGACCTAACTGCATTGGTGACTCTTCACTGGGGGGGGCAGAAAGACTCTGGCTCATTTAACACTGCAGCCTTCTGCTCACGGCCCAAGGACTAAGTGCTGGTGGTGTGTTTTTGCAGAGCCCACCCTGTTTTCTTCTCTGTGCTCTGAGCTTGACTTCCATTGAGGTCTAGGATCTGGTTCCTAGAGCTAGAAAGACCCTTAGTGGTTTTCTTGTCTGGCCGTCTCACTTTAGGAACCTAGATGAAGTAATTTTATGCATCACACAGACATGATGGAGAGTCCAGGGTTAAAGCCCACATCTCAGGGCTCATACCCATTGTGCCGCTTATTGGACCTAGGCCTCCATAGCGCCTGTAGTATTTTAGGTTCCTTTTGGTACATTAAGATTTTCTTTATGAAAGGTATAACTTGGAAATGCATGCACCTAAGGGGGCTGCAGACTTGGTGTTAATTGTGCCCTTGAGATAGCTGAGCATAGCTAAGGTTTCTCCTCTGATTAGAGGAAGATGCCTGGATTTAAATGTGAGTCATGTATGCAGAGTGACAGTATGGTCATGCCCCTTTCCCTCTTTTCAGGAGTTTCAAGACCTCTGGCCTCATTTGTCCCTGGTCATTGATGGTGGACCGATTGGGGATAGTCAGAGCCCTGAGTGCCGCCTCGGCTCTACTGTGGTTGACTTATCTGTGCCTGGAAAGTTTACCATTATTCGCCCAGGCTGGTGAGTCTCTTTCCTTTGCCATTGGAATATGAAGGAGGTTGGAGAAAGAGTAGCTTTAACTACAGAGTTCATCTCCGTCTTGCATTGGTTGGGGGTCACTGAGGGCCCCCATAGGAGGTGGTGAGTGGGATGGGACTAAATTTGCTGGCATGGCTGGCTTTTTAGTATTCATCAAATTTGATGAATAGAGCATGGGACAGTAACTTTAGTGGTTACTCTTCAGACTGGTGGGCTCAGTGCCCTGAGAAATAAGACTGTAACTGCCTTCTGTGTCTTCCTCAGTGCCCTGGAAAACACTACAGCCATCCTCCAACAGAAATACGGGCTGCTCCCTTCCCAGAGGTCATGTTCATGAAACTTGGGAAGACCCAAGGACCATGCTGGATACTATGTGTCTGCTCACTGGTTGGCAAGGCCTCATTGGCAGAGGCTCCTGGAGCTACACCTGTAGCCTGGCTTTTTAGGGAATCTCTCTCTCTCTCTCTCTGAACACTGTAGGCCAGAAGCTACAGGTTGAGCCTTGTAGATTCACATCTCAACCAAAAATTGAACAAAGGTAAGAACATTCTTAGAGCAACCTATTATTTTAAGGCCTGCCTTTTAAGTTAAAAGTAAATTGAGTAAAGTTAGAATGGATTAAGAGCTTGTTTCGGTGGACAGTGGCTCTTCATGTCAAGCCTGCTAGAAGCACTAGTGCAGTCTAAGAGTCTCAGGACCAATGCAGGAAAGTCCAGAAGCCCAACACAGATCTTTCCTGGCTATCAGAGTTCATTTTAGGGAAATTATCCTAGGGGGTCCCAAGTGAAATAAAACTGGAAAATAAAATCTTGACTGTTTTCAACCAGTGACTTCCTTATTTATTAGTAAAATAAATTATATGGTTCTGTGTGTAATTTGTTTAGCTTCCTTGTTTACTCAGAAGCCTTTGTTCAAACGTGTGTCAAATATTGTACAGAATTATTTGAGTATTTAAGCTATATTTTTATTATTAAAAAATGCTGCTACAAACAGTTGTAAATGGTTTATTTTTCTTTTGAACTATTTCCTTGGGGTAGCATTTCTAGGTCAAGGTGTGTATGTGCATTATGGCTATGGATGTAGATTAGCCTTGAGAAGATCTGAGCCAGGTTTCATTGAGGACGCCTGTCTCTTCCTGCTGGCCTTGCTGTGTCCAAGCTGTGTGTGCGTGAAATGCAATTAGGGCTGGGCAGGTCCAGCCCTGTTAACTAAGCTACAGGCTGGGTGGCCAGCTCTGCTCATCCCTCAGGTGGGGTTTAGTTGTCAGTAAATGGGCTGGCTGTCCTTGAAATGACCTATATTCTACCTCATCCTCGCCCATTTGCTTCCATTTCCTAGAGTTATGGCTCAGCCTTATCCTGTAAACCAGTACAGCGGTTTCCAGTTTTTCAAGTGTTATTTTGAGATTCTTGCTGAAAAATATTACATCGGTCTTAACTTTAACAAGGATCCTTGCAGTTAGCATTAGTTTGTTTATAAATAAGTACTGGCTGGTTAACTTCCCTCTAGAAATCTTACATAAACTATTTAAGCAAATCCATCTCCATTGTGCTAAAACTAGCCAGTCCAGCCATATGCTAATTTGTCATAGACTGACCTAGCGGTCAGCATTTATGAGGGCCACAAGAGGAATGGGTGCTGGCAATCACCGCTTCATATTTAATACAAATCATAGTAGCACTCAAAGTGGCCCTAGTGGTGGCCTCCCCAGCCTAGACAGCTGAAGGGAGAGTGGCCTGGTGTTCTCTGCAGCTGTATGTTCATCTGGGAAAGGCTCTGGAGCACAGAGGTATTTTCTTGGAGGAAAAATAGCTGAACTTCCAGGCCTGGGCATAGCTGCAAAGAAGAGCAAAACAGCCAAGGTGCATAGTTACACCAAAAGCAAGATATCCTGTAAGCTCGGAGAGGGAACTTTGACCAAATCCCCCAGCACCTGACAGTAAGGTGCCTAGTAATGAGTGGAGGCTCGGAGCAGTGCTTCCTGGTGGTGCGCACAGGAGTCTACTGGAAGGGCCTTAAACAAAGCCCCGTTATAGAAGTGTCAGATTGAGCAGGAAGGTGTGGGAAGGCGCCTGAGAAAATGCAGGCTGTCCAAAGGAAGTAAGGTGCATGCTAGCTCAGAACCCTGAGACCCTTTAAGCACAGTGGCTGACAACTCTCCTACACAACCTGCCACAGCTGAAAGCTAAAGGATGTGGAGCTACCCTGGGCTGTGTGCAGCCTCCTGCCAGCCACCTTCATCCAGCCTTGCTTCCCAGTCCCAGGGCCAGGCTCTGTTGTACATGAGCTAGCTGGCCCACACACCCACAAGCACCCAATTGCTACTTGGGAAGAGTGTGTGCCTGTATCCTCAGCTGAACCAGCGTGGAGACCAAAGGTTTGCGTGGTCACCCCTCACATCAGCCATTGCTCCTTTTCCTTGATGAAGTGCTCTGCCCAACGGCGGGTCAGCTCTAAGTACAGGCTGGGCTGGTGAGGCAGGTAGTCCAGATAGAGGCGAGTGGATGTCTTCTTGGGAACAGCCTTCTCGATCTGTGTGCCCTCATGCCACTCATTGAAAGAGGTGATGGAGACAATCTCCGGCCTCACAGTCAGGGCCGCCTGTAGGGCTGTCTCATAGTACTTGCCATTGACCCTGTTCCGAGTGTTGTGGTTGTTCCAGGGCCGGATGCTGGTGTCGATGTACCCAGGCCCCACGCTAGGAATGAACATCAGATTGTTGGTATCACAGAAGTTCTTCACAGCTTTCCAGTTCTGATGGGAGGAGCCAAAGGAGAAGCCATTGGAGGCAAAGTAGGTGTACATTCCATCGAATCCTGCTGCAAGGATCTCATGGGTGTGGCCCTCCTCCACCAGCAGCGCTATAAAGACCCCATCATAGGGAGTGTTGCGGATCGAGTGGGGCCCATTTTGTGTCAGGAGGTGGGCCCAGGCCTCAGGGGGTGTCAGATATGAGTCGTAGATATAAAAGAGTGGGAGGCTCTTGCCCATGCTGTTCCTATAACGGTAAAATGCACCATGGGAACCATACCTGAGGAGCAGGAGGGAGAGGCTTGAGTTGGTTGTGAGAAGCCAGCACAGCTGGAAGATCAGCCACAGGGGAGATCTTTTTCTGTGCTCACAGCAGTCTAGAATTCAGCAGGTTACATGTCGAGCTTACACTCCATGTATTCATCTGCCTCCCTTCCAGCCCTCCCTGACCTGTCTGTCATCCTCAATCCCTTCTCCCGAGCCAGGCCACCACGTCTTCACCTGCATTTCGGAAACAATATCCTAATTGGTGTCTAGACTTCCATTCCTGCCTTCCTATAGGATCTGACCTGTCTGTGGCCTGTCAGGACGCCCCTGGCCTTTTTACCAACCTTTATGTAACCTTGTCCCGTCGTAGCACACTCCATCTGCCAATTGTCTCTCTGCCTAGGATCTTACCCCTTTCCCCGGATCTTTGCAGAGCTAACTTATTATTTTATTATTTGAGACAGGGTCTCACTATGTAGCCTTGAGCTCAATAAGTAGACCAGGTTAGCCTTAAATTAAAGGTGTACACCAGCATGCCCAGCTAGAGGTGACTTATTTTAAAAAAACAATGTTGAAGCAGGGATGAGTGGTGGGTCTGGGAGGAGTTAGGGAAAGGAGTAGGAAGAGTAATATGATTTTTAAAATTAGTTTCAATATATTTTTTAAAAGAACTATTTGCTAGAGAGATGGCTCAGAAGTTAAAAACAATTGCTGCTCTTTTCGCAGACCTGAGTTCTATTCCCAGCACCTACATTAGGTAACATGTAACATGCCTGCAACTCCAGCTTCCTCTTCTGGCCTCCATGGGCACACATAGACATACATATACATATAAATAAAAAAATAAAATCTTTTAAAAACTGTTGGGGATTGAATCCAGGGCCTCAGGCATGATGTTACATGCATTTTTCCTAGCACTTGAGAGGCGAAGGACAGCAGACCAGGAGTTGAGGGTCACGCTCAGTTACATAAAGAGCTCAAGGCCAGCCTACACTATATGAGACTCTGTCTCAAAAACAACAGAATTCCAAGCTCACTCATTCCTTTTAGCTTAACAACCATATTTATACCTCAGTTCTGGGAGCTTCGGAGTCCACCATCAAAGTGCCTAACAAGTTTGGTTCTTGGTGAGAGCTCTCTCTCTGGCAGATGGCCACTAACTGGCTGTATGCTCACATGGAAAGCTAGAGTCAGCCTCTGGTGTCAGCACACAGGATAAGTCCTCTCAGAGAAGCACATATCACCTCCCATTCTAAAGTAATTCCTTGAGAGCTGGGACATAAGGGACATGCTCATGCTTAGCATGCAAAGGACCCTGGTTTGATCTTCAGAACCATAAAGCGGCGGTGGGGGGGGCCCCAAAACTAAATTTGTTGGACACATTCTTTTCGTTTTTTTTTTTTTCTTCGAGACAGGGTTTCTCTATATAGCTTTAGAGCCTATCCTGGCACTCGCTCTGGAGACCAGTCTGGCCTCGAACTCACAGAGATCCACCTGCCTCTGCCTCCTGAGTGCTGGAATTAAAGGCGTGTGCCACCAACGCCTGGTTTTGGGCACATTCTTAACACAAAACTTCCCTTTGCTTTTTGTTTATTTTTATTTTTTTCAGTACTACAGATTGCTGTGGTTTCTCACTTCTTGGTTGGGGAGCTCTGCTGCACCCCCAATCACTAAACTATAAGTCAGAAACCTCACTAACGATAATAGCTGTATGTGTGTGTACTGCATAGTTTTTCAGTGAATAGTACAAGCATGTATGAAGCACCTACATACTAAAACAAGACTCAATTAGGGCCGCAAAACTGGACCTGAAACTGCCAGACTCCAAGCCCAGTCCTGTCAACAACTGCTGGGAACACATGCATTCCACCCTTACATCGCCTGACCTGGCCTTCCCACCCTTTTATCCCTACTTCTATCTAGATTCCCATCTTACGTGTCAATGATGTACTTGATGTTGTCATGGACAGTGATGTCATCCCGGCCCTTGTATGGTTGGATGTGGAAGGCCACCTGCCACAAATAGAGGAGTTGCAGATCAGGTGAACAGTCAGGAGCACAACACATTTAGCTTAATACCCCCAACCATGGCTTGTAGGGAGGGGCTGAATTCAGGAAAGCATGGCAAGGATGGGCACAATGAAGGCTGGCACTGTCTTCAAGTCAAACATGAAGGGTGAAAGTTTGTCCATGTCCCACAACAGGGCATCCAGGAGTCATCATTCTGGGGTCACTGCAGGATGGTGCTAAGGTTTCTACTTCTTTTTATTGTTGTTGTTTTGTTTTCGTTTTTTGTTTTTCAAGACAGGGTTTCTCTGTATTGTTTTGGAGCCTGTCCTGGAACTCGCTTGGTAAACCAGGCTGGCCTCGAACTCACAGAGATCCACAGGTCTCTGCCTCTCGAGTGCTGGGATTAAAGGCGTGCACCACCAACGCCAGGCTAAGGTTTCTACTTCTATCAGCTCCAATCATGAACACCATGAGTCATGCCTACTCTGCCAATGGAAAATGTGCCAGTGGTGACCTCGGGAAGATGAGGGGGTTTCTCTTTCATTTTTCTTCCTTCAGCACAGATGTAGGAACTGACTTCCTCTATTGATGTGTTTGAGGAGAATGGCAGCACACATTTCCTTCCACTCGAAGGGGAACCTGCATATGGAGGCCAGTACTGTCCTCCACTGTGGAGTGGAGTCTACAATTGTATCTGCAGATCCATTTGGCTCTTGCCTACCCAGCATACAGGATCAAGGGTCTCCAATCTAACCTATATTCTTTAATAAAAGTGAAGGGACTGGAGTGATGGCTCAGCAGTTAAAAGCACTTGCTGCTCTTCCAAAGGACCTGGGTTCCCAGCACCCATGTCAAGTGGCTCACAACGAGGTCCATGAAAATCCAATGCCCGTGGCCTCTGCAGGCATCTGCATACATCTGTACATACCCCCACACAGATAAACAGGTGCATAAAAACTCTAAAATACAACTAATGTAAAAAGGTGATATTTATAGTCTTCCATTTGTTCCCTACTTAGTTTTCTCAAAATTAAAGATGGTAGCAGTTGACATGGCACTACACCCTCTCCCAATGCCCCACTTATGCTTGTCATCCTCAGCCACCCAGCACTGACTGTATGGCGGAAAAGGGCCATTCTCCAGAATGAGGACTTTTGTAACCTTTTGAACTCACCTGGATGTTGTGCTGATGGGCAGTGTCCAGAATGGCAGGTACCAGATCGTCTGAGGGCTCCCCATTATCATCAGCCATGCCAGGGGGGTACCAGGAAAGAACCAAGACTCCTAAACAATACAAAAGCCCCTTCAGTGGTACACAGTGTAGCCTCCTACCACAGCAGAGATTTTTCTCAGAAATCGTCTCCAACTGCAGGATTCCTGAAAACCTTGAGCCAGGACCCTGCTAGGTTCCTGGGAACAGACCTGGGACCTATAGCTTAGCGGGCCTCGGAGCTGTCCACACCAGCAGTGCTGAAGTTCTGCAGCAAGGCTGCAGGAGGGCATCATCAAGTAGCAGAAGGAAGGGTTACAGTGGCAATCAATGCCACATTCGCCTGGAAGCCACAACCCTGACTCTGGGGTCCTATCTGTGAAGAAAAGTCCTGTGAAGAAGTCCTATCTTCGTGCTTCCCACGGGAGAGAGCACTGGCGCTGACTGACTGTCTGTCTAGAAGGCAAGCCTGGGCAGAAAAGCCTGCATCTCAATTATCTTTGTGCATGTCCCATCCCTCTCCTTATGCGTTCATTCATTCATTCATTCATTCATTCATTCTTTTGGAGCTACCATCCCTCTATGTAACCTTGACTGGTTTCAAACTGGGAATCCTTCTGCCTCACCCTCCCAAGTGCTAGGATTATAGGATGCACCACTAAGCCCGGGTCCAGACCTTGCAGCTCTCCCTCAAACCATCTGAAGTATAACAAGATGTATCATTAAAAGCTAGACAAAATCTAAGCTAGGTGAGGACCACCCCAGTGTAATGCAGAACGTTCTCCAGGACCTCTAGCTGGGCACTTGATGAAAGCTCCTGTCATGTGTTGTGCCCACCCTCGGCCCTGCTAGATCAACCATATAGCTGTTGCACTCCCCTGCACCTGCTGTGAAAGTAGAGGGCTCCCCGGGCTCTCCTCTGAGCCCCAGACTTGAGGGGCCAGGTTCTCCACTCTCCCAAAACCTGGAAGTACAACATACTTAAAGCTACTCTTCTTACTTCCCCTACTCGGGATAGTTCTAACACACACACACACACACACACACACACACACACACACACACCAACTCTACTCTATGGAAGGTCCCTGGGGTTGTTGAGGGTAAGAAAGGCCCAGAAGGCACAGTGGGAAATTAGAAGTAAGGGGCATAGGGTGTAGTAGGCCCAGGATGAGAGTGAGAAGGAAGGGCTATGAGGTCAGGTTGGTGGGAGAGTGGGCCCTGTGGCGGGGCATCAAGAGCTGAGAGGTGCAGGAGGGAAGGGCGAGGCTGGGGGACAGACTGGCTAAAGGGACTCACCGATGGCGGCTTCTTTGAGCTGGGTCATGTGCTCTCGTAGCACATCGGGATCCCGTGAGCTGTAAGGCCCCAGCTCCGGGTAGAAGCTGGAGCCCAAGTCGTCTGGAGGGCTATGGCGGCCACGCGGGTAGCTGGCCGAGATCTTGGGGTCCCAGTGCGGCACCATGACATGGTCCCAGTGAACATAGTGGCCCTCGCGCCGGGGACTCCCGTACCACGAATAGTAGAAGGCATGCAGGT